TCATTTATGTCTTACTGGCCTCAAATTCTGGCTCCTCCAACTTCCATATTTCTTATAGAAAAGCAATCACCAAATTCAATTAATTAACCCTTGGAATGTCTCTGAAATAATTAATCTCCCTTTGATTCTTATCAAACTATTCTTTGTGAAGTGCTCTTTTTTTTTTTTTTTTTACTGGATGGTTATAGTAGTTTTCCAAGTGGTCATTCTGACACCACTCTGTTTAAATCAAAATGATCCTTCAGATTCCTAATAGTTCTCTTTCTGAAGACAGACTTGGTCGTGCTTAAAATCTTCCCCTTGTTGGCAGAATAAAGTCACAATTCGTTGTTTTTTTAATTTTTAGCTTTATTGCATTATAACTGACAAATAAAATTGTAAGATATTTAAAGTATACAATGTGATGACTTGATATACATATACATTGAAAATCACAATTCTTTATCATGACGTTCAAAACCCATTGCAATCCTTAACTCTTCATAATTCATCTCCTACCCCTCTGCTGCATTGTCAGTAAAATCCTTCTAGGTAAAAGTTCAGCCCAAATATCCTTTTCCCTTTACCCCAGACAGAATTAAGTTAGCTTTCCTTTGCATTTGTAGGTTATATATTTCAAGTTGTTCTTAGATTCACCATCTCCACACTGATTTGTAATGATGCCGTTTCTTCAAAAAGATTATAAGCTCCAGCAGGGTTACTAACTACCTTTTGTTGCATAACAAATGACAACAGGATTTAGTGACTTAAAACAGCACACGTTTATTATCTCACCATTGTGTCAGGAATCTGGGAGTGGCTTCCCTGGCTAGTTCTGGCTCAGGGTCTCTCACGTCCTTGCAATCAAGAGGTCAGCTGGGTCTGCAGTCATCTGAAGGCTTGACTGGGGCTGGAGGATCTGCTTCCAAGACAGCTTACTCACAAACCTGGCAATTTAGTGCTGGTTGTTGGCAGGAGGCCCTGGGTACATGCCATGAGGACCTCTCCACAAAGCTGCTTGAATATGCTTACAACATGGCAGCTGGCTTCTGCAGAGCAAGTGATCCAAGAAGAAAGAAAGGAGAAAACCAAACGCCGTGTTGGAAGTTGCACCATCACTTATCCCATATTCTATTTGTTAGCAGCAAGCTACCAAGTTCAGACCACCCTCAAGAGGGAAGAGGGATTAATTGCCACATCTTGAAGGGAGTAGTATCAAACAACCTGAGGACATGTTTTAAAACCATCACACAGGTTGTCTTATCTTTCTGTTTGTAATAACTAGCACAGCATCTGGCACTTAGTAGGTGCTCACTAAATGTTTCTACTGAAATGACATGTTAAAGGAGCAAGTATTGGAAGCAGGGTACTCATGGGTAATGAGTGTGGGCCAGGTGAAGAATGGTGGAGGTGGGAGTTGGTGGGAGATATTCTGAAGTAAGAGTTCATAGGCTCCATGACTGATTAGATGACAGGGGTTGGGAAGAGATCCACTTAGGGTTGAAGATGGTTTTGTTTTTTATAATTTGTATTTTTCTATTTATATTCAGATAGAATGGGAAGGAAGAAGAGAGAAAAAAACATTGACGTGAGAGGGATACATCGACTGGTTGCCTCCCGCAAGACTCCGACCAGGGTCGGGATGAACTGCAACTGAGATCCGTGCCCTTGACAGGAATAGAACCCACAACTCTTTGGTCTACAGGCTGACGCCCTAACCACTGAGCCAAACCAGCTGGGGCGAAGATGGTTTTGAAACTGGAACTTAGAGATAGCTGTGATGCTGAAATAGGCATTTAATACTTCCTCCATGGGGTTTTAAGGTAGTGAAATATCAAACCATGCATCTGAGAACACTATGTCTAAAGGTTTAATTATATTTGAAAGGTCCCAGGGCTGACAGTTAGCGCTATGAGCACGAACTAAGCCATTCCTTTAATTTCAGGTTTCTTGTTTCTAAATGTGGAGGTGTAATACCTAATTGTCTTCCAGGATTTTCAGTCTGAATTTTTTTTTTTCTTTATTGATTTTAGAGAGACAGGAAGGGAGAGGGAGAGAGAGAAACATCCATGAGAAAGAACATCGACTGGCCACCTCCTTCATGCCCCCCACTGGGGATTTGGCCCATAACCTAGGCATGTGCCCTGACAGGGAATCGAACTGGCGACCTAATGGTGCATGGGTCAGTGCTCAACCTCTGAGCCACACTGGCTGGGCTCAGCCTGAGCTCTTAAAGTTAAGAGGTTGACAACACCCTATCTTTTACAAGAAAGTCCCAGCACAATATCCTTTACAAATGGTTATGAGGTAACACTAGGTAACTTATTAGGTTGAATAGTCTAATATTCTGGTATTTCAGTTTTGATCTATAATGAAACCAATTTCATAGGATTCGACCTAACATATGTGGCTGCAGTTTGAAAATTTGAATACTGAGGAATAGACTAGAGAAATAAAAAGGAGTCACTGTAGTCAAGCTGCTAAATCACTTTAATGAAGTAGGCTGAGGTATAAGAAAAGGGTTCTGCCCTGGCCGGTTTGGCTCAGTGGTTGGAGCGTCGGCCTGCGGTCCGGAGAGACCCGGGTTCGGTTCCCGCTAAGGGCACGTACCTCGGTTGCAGTTTGTCCCTGGCCCTGGTCGGTCGTGTGGGTGGCAACCACTCGATGTGTCCCTTCACATCGATGTTTCTCTCTCTCTCTCTTCCTCTCTCTCTCTCCCGCTCTGTCTGAACAAAAAATGCAAAAATGTCCTCGGGTGAGGATAAAAAAAAAAAAAAAAAAAAAAAAGAAAAGGGTTCTATTCTTGTTTTAACTAGCCTAGAAACTTAAACTTTTGATCTTTCCAGTCCTGCATCAATGCTCAGATATACATGCAGATAACCCCCTGGAGGAATAAGGAAAGAATATTCACATATCCAGACTACTTGACATCTACTATCCAATCACTTATCATCTGGAGCAGTGATTTTCAACAGGTGTGCCATGGCACACAGGTATGCCGCAAGAATTTTTAGGAGGCCAGTGCCTTATCCATTAAGCCACTGGGGCAACTGCAAGAATTTTTAAAACGTGCAATACCTGGCTATTTAGTCAGGGGCACTGACCTCTTTTCCCTTAGACTGTCAAATTAAAAAATGACAACAGCCAACACAACAATAGCCATCCGGTGTGAATGAATCAAATTTATACCTATTTGTTTTGTCAGATTGAATTTTAGTAGTTTCTGTGTGCCATGGGATGAAAAAGGTTGGATATCGCTGATCTAGATAGAGGATTACCATCTTGGACCATTCCAGAGGCTAAGAATGCAGGACTGATTCTCACAAATGTACTTTTTACTATAAGAACTCTCAGCTTTTCTTTCTTCTTGGGGAACACTCTGGGTATTGCCCAATTGTGTGTCCAGTTTGCAAACCCTAAGATCCTTGAATAAATCTTTATCATTTAGTTCTTGCCAAAGCCTCCCGATTCATTTAAGCTCAGTTGACAACACCTTTTCACAGATGGAAAACTGAGATGCTCCAGAGTTCTTGATCTTTCTATTCTTGATAACACTAAGGTCCAACTGTAAGAAAGGTCAATCTTGAAGTCAAATAAGGTTTATTCCAATAGAGGCATCAATGTCCCATTTCCTTAAGTTTGTTAAAGGAATTGAAGACCCAAGTATGGTAAATATTGAAGAGTCAAGAAACCTAAGATGTAAAATTGATCTAGGAACCTCAGATAAGTCCAGTCTCAATCACATTTCATACTGTGCCATTTTAAAGAAATTGTATTTATTTAGAAGCATAAAAAACTATAGATTTAATAAAAAAATAAGAATTTAATAGTTCTTTGTTTTGTATTTTTGTACATCTAAAAACTGATAAGTTGACACCATTACTGGTGGGAATAAATCCAGTATTTGACAACATAAATTAATATACTGAAAATTCTTTTTGTGCCCTGTTTGGCTCAGCTGTTAGAGCTTCAGCCCACGGACTAAAGGGTCGTGGATCTGATTCCCGTCAAGGGTAGTGCCTGGGTTACAGGTTCAATCCCTGGCTGGTCAGGGTCGTGCTGGAGGCAACCAACCCACGTTTTTCTCTCCCACTCTCTCTAAGAAAAAAAAAAAAAAATCAATGAAAAAATATTCTCCGGTGAAGATTAACAACAGCAACAACAACTACTTCTAGTGCTTTCCCAAAGTCCTTTTTAAAACTCGTTATTAAATAGAAACTTTCAATGGGAAAGTTCTTCAGTGTTCCTTCTTCCACTTCTTCAGATCAATTAATACTGAAGCTAGACTTCGGGTAAGGCGTGTGAAACCATTTTACACGAGCGCAAGTCTCAAAGATTAGAGCAAAACTGCGTCCATACATGCACTCCCCCCATTTGGACCCAAGGCTCCCCCAGGGCAGGGTCTTTTTTTGTCTGTCTGCTGCACAGTCCCCGCAATGCGACCGTGCCCAGCCCACTGCGAGCTCTCAATGGTCAGCCATCCATTCATTTCTCGTCCGTGCAGGGCGCTGCGGCAGCGTGGAGGCCGGCGCGCAGCTTCCATCCCCTCGCGGAACGCGCGCTGCTCTCGGCGCCCCGGGCCCGCCGCCCCGGGAATATCCGGCGGCCTGAGGCCTCCCGGGCCCTTCGCTTCCCGCAGAGGAAGGAGCAGGCGCCGGGGATCGGGAAACCCGGGCCCACTTCCTGTCCGGGCAGGACAGGGCCGGGCGTCTGCGTCCCTCGCGGCCTGCTCGGCCCGCGCGGGGACGGGCCCAGCCGCAACCACAAGAGTGCGGCGGGGCGCGGGGCGAGCGCGCGGCGAGAGCACCCCGGGGCCAGGCGGACGCGGAACGAGGGGCCCGGACCCGGCGCGCCGACTCCGCCCCGCAGCGTCCTCGGCGGCGACGGGGTTAAGCGCGCGGGGGGCGGGGCCGCATGGAGCCCGCCGCGCCGAGTGCGGCCGGGAGTGGGGAGGGGGCTGCGGCCGGGGGCGGTTCCGGGCGGCGGGGGCGGGGGCGGGCGGAGGAAGGGGGCGGGCCCCAGAAGTTGTTGGGCGCTAGGCCGGCTGGCGGGAGGGCGAGCGGGCTGCGGGCCGGCGGGCGGACCGGGCCGGGGTGGACAAGTTTGCGCGGCGGCTCGTGAGCGCAGGGTGCGGGCCCCGCCGGCCGCTGCGCGCCCGCTGCCATGGCTTTCCGCAGGAGGACGAAAAGTTACCCGCTCTTCAGCCAGGAGTTCGTCATCCACAACCATGCGGACATCGGCTTCTGCCTGGTGCTCTGCGTCCTCATAGGGCTTATGTTCGAGGTGAGCGAGACTGGGGAGGGGGTGCCCTTTCTCGTGCGCCGCCCGGTGGACTCCTGCAGGTCCCCGGGGTCCTTGTCAGAGCTGGGGCGCGGGGCTACCAGTGCGTTATCTGCATCCCCCTTTGTACACCGGACGCCCCGTGGTCTCCGAGTCAGCCCAGACCACCCCCCACCCCCCGCTCCGCGCCTTGCCAGCCGTGCCCTGCTTGGCCGCCCCCTTGGGCACCCACCATATCCTGCAGCGCTCTCTGCAGCCCTGAATCCTAAGCCTGGCCTCGAACCAACCGCAGTGCTGCCACCCTGGCCCAAACAGTGGGGTTTCCTTTCTGGTGTCCGGGAGCCAAGCCCGGAGACTCCCAGACCCGGAGTCATTGCACAACTACCTCCCTCTCCCAAGCAGTGGCTGCCAGCCTTTCTGGGCTTTTCCAGTGGGAGGGACCCCGGCCCTTTTCCACCTCCCACCTGATTTTCTAAGTTTTTTGCATTTTGACGTGTGGCCTGGCCCCATCCCAGCAGTGCCCACCTACTGTCCTCCAGCCTGCCCCCTCCCTTTTATTTTGCCCTTGCCTAAAAGGCCAGTTTTCCTATACCCGTTATCACTCTGGATTATTCCTTCAGCTCCATCTGTGGAAGCTCCCAGAGCTTCTCCCTATTACAGGGCCAAGGGAAGGGACAGGATACCCTGCGCTTTTAGGGGCAAGGCGATTCCCTCATAGCTGTGGGGGTAGGCAGGAGAGGATAGGGTCCTCCCAAGAGAGCAGAGACTTGTAGTAAGCCCCACTGGGCCAGGATCCAGGGGCTCTGATGGGAAGGACTCGCTAGAGTGATATTCAGAAGTGAGAAGAACTGGAGGAAAGTGAGCATAATAGGGCTTGCTGTGATGTATCTTGTCACTATCTAGTGGCACTCCCCTCACCCTCATTGTGGTCTCCAGTGAGGTGGGGCCTTGTCCTCCTTTCTGGGTAGGGTTCATCTGCATTCTCAGGAATGGGTTAGGAAGCTGTAACCATTTGTAAAACTGCCTTGGAGATGGAAGATTCCTAGTGGGGCTCATTTCTCCCTCTCTGTCTCTGTCTCCCTGAGGGTGAAGCTGCCCTCAAGCTGGGGACAGTCGTGTGGTGGCTGAGTCAGGGTTAGATGTGTAAATGTGCCCTTGGAGGGTCTATAGGAAATCAAACTGAGACTAGGATTGGGGTCTGCAAACCAGCTTTTGGTAGTACTCCTTACCTTCAATCCCTCCCTCCCCCTTCCACCTCTATAGCTCTCATGGTGTATTGGAAAGGGCTGTGTCCATTGGGGTTGTCCCTGTGTCCCCGTCCCTGTTTTGTCACTAGGCTGACTAAAAAAAAAAACCGACTGCAGCCTCAGTTTCCCCATCATTAAAGAGGGTAATCAAACCTCTCTTCCTCATGGAGTTATTGTAAGGTTTAACTGAGATCATGTCAGTAACCAAAAGCCGTAACAGATTCTACGAATGTGAACACAAGTGGCTTGTTCCTGAAGCCTTGTTATTATTGATCATAATAATAGCTTAATGAAATAAGAGAGAATTTGTTTTGTTCAGCCCATACCCTCTGTCCTATTTGTATCTATTTGCTGTCCTCCATTCTAAGAGGCCTCCCAGTGCCCTGTCACCAGCCTTGGAGGGTGTGGTAGGAAAGACACGTGACAGCTGTAGACCTCTTAGCCCCACGTTCTGCAGCCGGTGAAGTCTCTTGCATCGCCCATGGCCCTTGGCTGTGTTTCTGGTATTTGTGAAGGTCTGTGGCTTTACCTGCTTTACCTTTGCTCAGAAAGAGCTGCCTAGCGTTTGAGCTTTGTACCTCCTGCCCTCCCTGCCTCAGTCTTGGAAAGTCCTATGCATTAAATCTGGTACTCTGTGGGAGTTGAAAAATGCTAGGAGCCCTTACTGCCAGTACCTGACAGAAGAGGGGGAAAAAAACCACCAACAACAAAAAAACTCTCTTCCTCCCCATCTTAGGATTGGACTGTGGAGTATGGAAGGGGCTTTGGCCAAAGTGTCTGCAGACTTCCTACCATCTTCACCCTATAGAACCTTAGACTTACACTTTTGAGCTTACAGGGCAGGAGTCTCCTCTGGAGGGTGCATAGAAGGTGCATTGTGGGTTTGCCGGTGTGTGCTGGTCTGGGTGAAGGAGGGCTGTGCTGAATGAACCTCCCTTGTGGAGGATGCGTGTTCTGCTGTGCTAGGTACATCCTCATTGTCTGTACCTACTAACTGAGTCTCCACCGATATAGGTATTTTGGGGGAACTCAGATTTTTGGAACTCTGCTCTCCCTACCAGATGAGAGCCGAAACAGCTCCATTACTTTTAGGGACCTCAGAGAAACACATGTGGGCATCTTAACATTTGGAATAAAGCCAGGATGGCACCTCATAACCCAGCATAGGACTTACCAGCTGGCACTTAGGGTCTTCTGGGTTTTCCCTGGAGGTGTGGTGTGTATATGTCTATATGTAGGGGTACATATGCACTTAACACTTTTCCCTAGAAGTGAGGACAGAAGGAGTTGGAAAGGGAAGAGGAGACTGGAAGAGAGAAGTGGACCGCAGGCTCTTGGGATTCTAACTTGGCACAATTAGGATTGCTTCATTCAGGAGCTGAGTCAAGAAAACTCATTTATAATGCTTCCCACAAAGAGTCAGTCTACTGGTCACTCCTCCTTCTGGGGTCCCCTGTCCAGTCTCTGCCAGTGAGCTGGGCCCCCTCCATACGCCAGGCAGCCCCAGTCCATGTGGCCTAACTGGTCTCCATCTCATTCCTGCCTTGCCCCTTGGCCAACTCACTAGTCAGCTCGCTATCATTCAGAGGGGCTTTGGTCCCCCCACCCCGGACCACAGGACTTCAGTTCTCTCCCCTGGGAGATGATGACTCCAAATTCCTTCCCTTGGGATCACTTCCTTTTGGAAACACACATGAAAGGGTGGCTCACCCTCCTCCGTTGATTTAGTTTTGGGCCATCCTATGATTCCTCCCATTTCCAAGGCAGGGGGCAGGTTCTTTCCCCAGAATTCAGGTTTTCTTTCCATCCTGCAGGCTGTTTGGAATAGAGCTGTTCTGTGCAGCCACAGCACTTGGCTAAAAAATGTCAGGAATGTGGAGCTTTATTTTCCCCCTCCTTCTCTTCCAGCTTTCTCTTTCTTAACTCTGCTTTCCCGAGAGGAGGTGCAAGGGGAGTTTTCTTCTGGATAGTTTGGCCCTTCAGTCTTGTCTTAGGGGGAGTCTGGCCTGACAGTCCATGGCGTGGGCAGCCAGTTGGGGTGCGCATGGTATGTGTGTCAGATTTAAAAGCAGACTCTCCCCCACCCCCTTTCCCTCCGCTTTCCAGTGTCCCTTTCAGTGCCACGTTTCACACTGAAGCAGGCAGGGAAGGAGAAAACTCTCATCTTGAATGGAGAGTGAGAAAAAGGGGGTGCGTGGAACAGAGAGAAAGCAACTCATACATTACCTCTAAAATGTCACTTCGAGACTGACACTTTGCTTGTTTACTTTAAAGCCCATTCGCAGGCTCTGCTGGCCCTGCAGCAAGGAAATGTTTCTTCAATTCTGGGCCCATCATTTGTTTGGTCTGTGATGACTTAAGGGTTTGGGACTGAGAGGAATTTTTGGGTAGCGGCCGGTATTTGGTTTTTGTTTTGGAGCCAGGTGTGGTCGAGCTACCTTTCTCCAGGAACTGCCTTCTTCCCCGCACCTGACTGACTTGTCGGAGGATGTATTTGCAGCATGTACAGTGGGAGCCCACTGCGTCACGCCTGTTAGCACGTGGGTGCCATGGCACCGGTTCACATCCTCCCAGACGTGCCTCTGGGCTTCATAACCCAGAGTAAGGCTGCTGGTCCTGTCTCTTAATATTAGTGTTATAAAACAGTCCTGCTTATATTGTGTTAATATAAAAAGGTACGTAAATGGCACAGACGGGCCTCTGTGGACATATGTTGTCTTTCTTTGACTAACCTCGAATACAAGACCTTCCTCTGCCAGCTTTTATAGTTCCTGGCTTTATGGGTCTTCGTCTCCAGCCTCTGACATAGTTCATCAGTCATGTTCTAGAGAAATTAGTCAGGGGAAACCAGGAAGAGTCGCTGATTCTCTTGGGTGTTCTTGTTCTGTGGTTAGACTTCCACAAGCATCACTCAGTGATCTGAGCAACAGAGCAGGACTTGGGAACTAGTCTCTGGTCAGCCCTCAGGCGGCACCCTATCTTATGGGGTGTGAGGCATATCGGTTATCCCTGTTTCTTCCCTTGGTAGAATGTGCTATCCAGATGGTGGCATTGATCAGTTAGTGAGATTTTGACCCTGACTGTAGGATAGAGACTGATACCTGTCTAAATGCCCTGCACGGTGCCTGGCACAGGGATACGTAATCGAAGGTCTCAGCAACCACACTGATGGTGATTGTTACTGGCTTCACTGTCGGGTCTGTGAGTACTCCTTCTACCAGCAGACTGGCGGGTTGGGGACCCCAGCTGTATTTCATCTAGATGTGACATGCTTTGCCAGGAGGCTTTCCCCTAAGTAGTCCAGTGCTAGCCGTCTGCTTTCCGAAGGGTGCGATCATTATACTGGGTCCCTGTTCTCCCCAGGGAGCCTGTGGTGTGGCCACTGCACATCTGTTTTCTCTGCCCGCCTACCCCCCATCTTATTAGAAGCGGGGCTGTGGACACTGGAGGGTCTTAGTGTGGCCATTGTCAGCTGTGTGGAGAAGGAAAAGCCGCGAGGAGGCTGCCTCGCAAGCTAAATAAGGGCCACTTTTCTCTTGCTCCCTCTGTTGTCTGAACCCTCAGTTGCTCGTTTCTCGGGGGCACTGTCCAGACGGGTCGCAACAGAGCTCCTTAGTCCTGGCTGTTTGTGGAGGAACGTGTGTTGCTATGGTGAAAACTTCACTCTGGCAGGCATGAGCTCCTTTTTGATGTGCTTGGTCGTGGGCAGGGGCCCCAGAAATCACTCTGTGGCATAGCTGAGGCACCTCCCGTTCC